TAAAAATTAAAAAGGAACATAGATTACCACTACGTCAGCATCTCCCTCACATTCCTGCTTCTATCAGCATCTTTCCTGTCTTGATTGCACTTAGTTTGAAATGGATAATCCAAAATGAGCTCAAACCCACTCAGAAAATTCAACGAATACCTGATACAATTCAAGCATTAGGCCAACTTAGCTGGTCACGTGGTGGCTGGTCACATTTTCTGTGCAAAATACAACCAAAATAGAAAGTTCATACCACTGTAATATTACCTGGTCTAGATATTTGGATTGGATTTTGTGTCGAGCCTCACACATCTTGCATGGTTTCTCCCCAGGGTCTGGAAATACTAGTTGGTTTACAATTATGTTGTGGCTGTCAATTTTACACTTGGCCAACTCTTGAATTAGTCGTTCTGTCTCGTATAAGGACAGAAACTCAGCAATGCAAACACAGATAAAGGTGGTCTGCTCCTGTGAAAAGGCCAGAAAATGGGTTTAGCAGGTGACTATCATCTTGGAACTCACCAAACAGAACAGTGGCAATCGCAGTAAAAATGTCAGCTTTGGTTTCATACACATCCTTTCACTTTGTCCTAACTTTCTCCAGTATTCCCCTTGTTGTCTCAGTCAGTATCAAAAATGTCCATGACTCAAGGTGGTTGTGGCTCCACACCAGGAATTCAGTTCTGGACTTTTACTTTTGTGCAGTAGTGGCAGACTGTTGCACAATCAGAAGTGCTGTCTCTCAGCTGATACATTAAAGCCTTGGATAGACTTTAAAGATGCCTGGGAATACTGCAAAGAGCAACAGAATACTGGCTTATAACAAACAATATTAAAATAGATTATCTGGTCATTATCACATTACTGTTTGTGGGAGCTTGTTTTGAGTAAACTGGCAAACAAGCCTACTGCATTATTACATTTACTGCACTTCGAAAGGTACTTTATCGGTTGTAAAGTTCTTTGGGAAGTCTTGTGGTAGTGAAAGGCACTATGTAGTTTCTGCCACTTTTGTTTTACTGCTCCTGAGTCAGCAAACTGTCACCAAAGGAGCAAGATCAGCAATTATGATTCTGCTTGCCACTCTTTTCTAGTCTCTACCCTGAACATTCATAAGAAATACAACGATTCAAAAGAATCGTTGGATAGTAATAAGTAAAAACCCAGGCAGGTTATGGCTCATTGTTCTTCTCAAGATCAGCCATGGGGCTGCACTCTATAACAGACCAGATCAGCTAACAGAGAGGAGATTAGAATTCTCTAATCAGCATGAGTCAAGACACCAGAGTCTGGCATAGACATGCACACTCAGCTTAAAATAAGGGTTTCCTTTATATTAGAATTGCAGGATGTAAAATGCTTGGAGATGTCTTCTCGTTATAATGTAACTTAAGTGAAGTCCAGCAAAGCTCTTTTCTAATGCAGGTCTTCACCAACAATATGTGGGAGGGGACACTGGAGGTGGATGGGAATGTGGACCATAAATAAACTGTACTGCGCTGGATGACATTATGTGGAGATTGTCCACCACTAGCTTAAGACAGTGGGATGGAATGTACTGTGAGCGGAAGACAAAATGAAGCGGAAGACAGAAACAAAATGAATTATTTAATATGACGTGTGAATAGGAGCTCTGAAGGACATGCTCCACAGTCCCCCAAAAGAATAAATTTAAAGCACAAAATAGTATTTTATTCAAATTGTCCAGTTAATGCTGGTTGTTAGGATATGGGTGGCTTAATGGGTACAGTATTGAATCATCAATCCAGCATTTACAAATTCAACAATCTGTGGTCTAGTATGAGATTTATTGAAAAAAAAACTCAAATGGAGGGTTCAGTCACTCCTATGCATCTTTCACGCTGCAGTTTAATCTCAATATTCCCAGGTCAATGATGACCTCATTTAAACCATTAGTCCTCATGTCAGTACCGGTCTTTAGGCGAACGGAGAAAAACAATTAAGTGAGAATTACCGGGTCTTTAAACTGTTCACTGACTGAACGAATGACGGGTAAGGTCTCCTCCAGCTTCGAAGCAAGTTGATCTGCATTCATGTCACCGAGTCCAAGCATACTGCACATCTGAAACGTTAGAAATGATAAAATACATACACTGTTTGACCACACAACCAGCACAAAGATGGCAGATTCAAGTACCGATTATTTCAAGTTAAATCTATGCAGAACATCTCGGTCATCTTATTTTTAAATTAACAGCTCAATGCATTTATACAGAAGGTATCCTAGTTAATTCCACTCCAAAATTCCAAAACTACATGCTTTAACATTAAAATGCACACTAAGTATGGAAGACCTGTAAACAATACAAAGGTGTATCACTTGAATGATTCACTAACATGCATTCCAAGACTTTACATATGTAGCAGCTGCTCAGCACCTAGGACGGCTAAATTGGAATAGATTGGCTGTTTGTCAACTAGGAGAAGTCCTAAACCACCTGCTGTATATGTGTGTCACACAAGATGCCTCTATAGTGTTCTCTATTTGGTTTGTGTAATTTAGAAGAATAAGCGACAGCTTGGTTGAAACGTTTCGTAACCAGAAGGGTCTTGACAGGATTGATCTGGAAGAGATAACAAGGTGCAGAGCTGGATGAACACAGCAGGCCAAGCAGCATCAGAGGAGCAGGAAGACTGACGTTTCGGACCTAGACACTTCTCCAGAAAAAGTTTTTCTGAAGAAGGG